GTCAAGGTATTTTCCAAAGCACCCAAAGACCAGACAAGGAATAATGAATGGAAACTGAACAAGGAGAAATCCAACCTAGAAACAAGGAGAAATTTTCTGACAGTGAGAGCAATTAATCCATGGAACAGAAGTTTCCATCAGAAGTTGTGGGAGCTTCATCACTGGAGGCTTTCAAGAAGAGACTGGACAAGAAGACTTTCAAGAAGACACCTGTCAGAAATGGTGTAGGTCTCCTGCTTGAGCAGGGGTTTGGATGAGATTTCCAACTCTGTTAATCTGTTAACATCTGAAGAAGAATAGGATGCCGAGTACTCTAACAAATTGGGCTATAATCTGACCAGATTCTTTGATTCGCTAGTAACTTTTTGTGTTCACGTGGCCATAGCTTAATTCTTCCTTCTCTCCTTCTTTCTCTCCAGCATATTGGATTCTGCAAAGCGACTGTTTTTAGATCGCACGCTGCCCTTGAAAAACCTAAAGATGAACAGTATGAGTCGGACTGTGTCATCTTTGATGTCAAGGTATGGATGTTAAATGCAATTTTGTTCACCCTCTTTCCCCTCATTCTCATCCACTTAAGATGTGTAGACTTCAACTGGCTGGGGAATTCTGGGGGTTCAAGTCCACGTGTCCCTTGGTTTCTCTTATCCATTCTGTCCATCCAAGCAGCTCAAAATCAACTTCTTGTTCCAGCTATAGATTCCCCTGTATCCCTTCACATGAATAAATGCTTTGATATGTCATAGAGTTTGTTTGATCTTGGCTTAGCATAATGCAGCCTTTATGATTTGCAAACCATAGATTATTTTATTTACATGCTTCCTTTTCTCTGAGATTGTTATTTTATCCTCACCACGACACTTTGGATTGTAGATTGGGCTGAGACAGAATAACCGGCTCAGAGCCATGGTATTCATTCAACAAACTGCGGTTATAACAAATTAGGGCTCAGTCAACGCTTACAATAACAAAAGGAACAAGCCTCTATTAACTGAAAGACTAGCTGCCATGTTCCAATGTTATTCATTTGATTTCGACTCTAACGTTCGCCAACTGCCAGATTACAGGTAGTCCTCAATTTACAACAACAACCCCAAATTTCCGTTGCAAAGCGAGTCTGTTGTTAAGTGAGTTTTGCCCTATTTTACGACCTTCCTTGCCACAGTTGTTAAGTGAATCACTGCACTTGTTGTTACCTTGCTCACATGGTTGTTAAGTGAATCTGGCTTTGCCAATGACTTCGCTTGTCAGAAGGCCGCAAAAAGGAGATCACATGGACCTGTGACACTGCAACCGTCATAAACGTGAGTCAGTTGTCATGCATTCTCAATTTGACCCTGGGGATGCTCCAAAGGTCATAAGTGTGAAAAACAGTCATAAGTCACTTTTTTCAGGGCTGTTGTGATTTCAAAGTATCACTAAATGATTGAGGACTACCTGTACTGAAAATATTAAGAGCTGTTGATTTTCTTGATTTTCTTTTTTCAATTTTCAGTGGATTTTCTTAATTCACTGTTGTGTAAATGCATTGGAAAGTTCAAAGCAGGATAAAATCCCAATAGCATTTAGAGTTATATACCGCTTCACAGTGCTTGACAGCCCTCTCTAAGCGGTTTACAGAGTCAGCATATTTGCCTCTGACAATCTGGGGCCTCATTTTACCTACCTCGGAAGGATGGAAGGCTGAGTCCACCTTGAGCCTGGTGGGATTTGAACTGCCAAATTGCAGGCAGCCGGCAGTCTGCAGAAGTAGCCTGTAGTACAGCACTCTGACCACTGTGCCTCCGCGGCTTATGGTTCAATGGCCAAAGAAGACTCATCCATGTTTTTTTTTCCTTTTTTTTTCCAGGAGGGACATTCTCACACCCATTTGATTGAGCATCACTATGGAAAAAATATTCCTTCACCAGGACACAACAATGTTGTCCTGGACCTCGTCCATTCGCACAATCACACAAGCTCCTCGCATGAGTCTCATTCTCGCGAAGGTGTGGTAGAAGTGATAGCAGTCCCACTTCCTGTGGCCAAAAGAGAAGCGCCAACAAAACCTCCACCCTTGTGTCCAGGAAAAGTACATCACTTCAAGTTGTAGGCCAGCCATGCCAGGGAGCAGAGAGAAGCCGCCCAGTTAGTGCCAAAACCCTTTTCCAAATCTGAACTCAAACCTTGAATCCAAAAAGGAGTTTTACTCTGATACATTATAGTATTGGCCAAGTATTGTGATCCCCCGTTGTTGTTGTTACAAGGAAGAGGCTTTGCATTTGTGCCTTTCTACTTTTAGAGATGCAGATCTCACTGCGAACTTAACGTCTTCCAGTCTCCCTCTGTTCAGCCAAGGAACGACTAGAAAGTTGAAAGAGAAGTTACACTAGCCCCCAAATCATAATTCTTCTTCTTTTTTTGAGTCAATAACATTCTTTCTCAGAAAGTCAAGGACAAATGACCCCGCACCTGGAAAGGGGTATCTGGAGGAATGTCTCCAGTTGGGATGATGATTTGCTTGGGCCATGTGATGGACTGATGGGTGCAGGGGATGGATCTTCGATTTTCTTCTGGGAAGAGGAAACCTGGAACTCTCCGATTCGGGTTTTCCCAGATGTGCCAATATGATAACTCTAATAAAATGGAATTTTGAGGAAATGCTTGTCTTGGAGTTTATTGGTTTGGAGTTTGTTAGTTGGAACCCTGATATTTGGATTTTTCCCCCTTCTGTTTAATCATATCTCATTCCTTGAGACTGTCTGGATAAGTCTCTGTAATTTTCTTGGCATGGTTTTTCAGAAGTGGCTTGCCATTACCATCTTCCTAGGGCTGAGAGGAAGTGGCTGGCCCAAGGTCACTGCTGGGTTCGTGCCCACGCGGGGCTATAATTCACAGTCACCCAGTTTTTAGCCTGATGCCTTAACCCAGGGGTGTCAAACTCAAGGCCTGCAGGCCGCATCCGGCCCATGGGATGCTCAGATTGGGCCCGTAGGGTTGGCCTGGAAGCAGCAAAGGACCCTCCTGCAGTGTCTCTGCCAGCGAAAGTGGAGTTGGGAGGG